GAGAATGTCACTGAAAAAGGAATAAAGGAGGGTATTTTTATTTGGAGGAATACACTGAGAACCACATCCTCTAACCGGATGATAGGCATGAGTCAAGACGGATAATACTGTTGATATCAGCTGTTACTTTGTTTCCATATTCATGGAGATTAGAAGCAACCTTCTGGGTCCTAAAACATAATATATTGATATTCATTATACATTTTGCACAAATGTTTTCTTGGTGATTGTGATTAGTCTGTTGGGATGCTTTGACTGTGTATTCCTACATAGCAAGGGGTTGGACTGGATGGCCTTTATGGTCTTTTTCAACTCTAAAAATGAAAATTGTGAATATTCGTTTGTAATAATCAATACTTTACTTTTAAGAAGTGTGCATGATAGGAAGACAAAAAAGTAACTGTTAAATTGCTCTGGACCACATCAAAATCTTTGCTCTGAAAACTCTGTTCTCTGCTCTTGATAGATTTCTTTCACAAACTTGTAATTTCCCTGATGAACAACTCTCGTCTTTGAGATCTGCAGGGGAAGGCTTTTTCTCTATCCCAACATCCTCAGAGGTACATCTGGGAGGAAAATGAGAGACACCATTTTCAGTAGCTGCCCCCAGGGTTTTGGATGTCTTTTCCAGAGAACTTAGTCTGGCAGCCTCCCCACTTCCTTTACATATACAAGTAAAGACTTTTCTGTTGAGAAAAGAATTTGGTTAGTGACTATGTAAGGCCATTAAATATTGTGCTGGACCTTGTTAATTCTTGTTCTGATGTGTGCACGTGTTTTAATGATATATATTTCAATCCAACTTTATTTTTTGATTGTTTAATTTCACTTTAACTTTTGTATATTGTTGGTTTATATTATATATTTCCTCTATTCTAAGATGCACTCTCTGCCCCCATGAATATATCTAAAAATGAGGTGCATCTTAGAATCATGGGTATGTGTATATGTAGATAGATAGACAGACACACAGACATATTTGTATACATACTGAAATTAGTGTGCATCTTACAATTGATGGCATCTTACAATTGATGAAATATGGCATTTTGTAATTTGTCGTAAGCCCTTTGAGACTTTAACTAGAAAAAAGACAGGGCAGAATAACAGTAATAGTATATAGGCAGTCCCCAAGTTACCAACAAGTTAGGTTCTGTAGATTTGTTCTTAAGTTGAATTTGCACTGTTTTGGTGCTAAATTTGTAAATACAGCAATTAATACATAATGTTACCACGTACTGAACTTCTTTTTCTGTCAATTTGTTGTAAAACATTATGTTTTGGTGCTAAATTTGTAAAACCACAATTTGGCATTTAATAGGCGTTTCCTATTTTTGCTTATTCAACGTTCTGCTGGCCCGTTTATGTTGGATAAGCGAGACTCTACTGTATATATGTATATTTGTGTGTATATATGTATGTGTATATGTGTGTGTTGGACAACAAAGTGAAGGGTTAATACCCCTGTGGTGTTTCTTTTGATGCCTATACCTCTATTCAGAAGATTTCACCCCATTTTCTGTCCCTGTGATAATTGGAATTAGAAAAAGGTTGGCATGTTGTGTGAAACCTTCAGTGGAGACACCTTTTCCCCATGATAACTCTTTCAGGAGTGAATTTTTCTTCCTGGGGTAGATTTCTCTCACTTCTTGTTGTCTCACTTCCTGTTTGTAACTACAAGTCATTTGTAAATCGGATGTTTGTAATTCAGTGACTTCCTGTGATTTGAATGGCATAATCTATAGTCTTCTTTGGAACCACCTTACACCTCTGCTGTGATTCTGGCCCCATCTACAACTTGGAGGTGTCTATGAACAACGCTGGCTCTTTGGCTTAGAAATGGAGATGAGCACCACACCCCAGAGTCGGACATGACTGGACTTCATGTCAGGGGAAGACCTTTACCTATATGGTGTAAAAATCCAACATGTACTGACAATAAATCAGCATTTGCAAGGCTTGCTAGACAAACAGCTTTTCCTTTTTGTGGAGTACAACTGAAACATTTTCTGCAAAGTCCACTGTAAACACTGCATGTTGCTGCTAGCAGATTTGTGTAAAGGATGGCATTCAAAAATCTTGTGCTGCTGCCAACTTTTTTGTGGCCTCCAACATTGAGTTAAGAGGACCCCATTTGGGGTTAAAACCCAGTTTAAGAAGCAATGCTCAACTACAATGTAAACAATGCTGACATGTTCAGAATCTGCCTCCCTCCATTCCCATCAGCCCAATGATCTTCCTAAAGGATAATGAGGGTATATGTTTTAATGTATATATGACCATGTTACATATTTATTTAAATAAGAACTTGTAACAAGAAATGTAATATTTGGGGAAATATAAAAATTGAAACCTTTTTGATAATCAAGTCAGTTTTTCAATCATTCTCACTTTATTTGTCTGCCCCTGAGCTGCAATGACAATGAATAACCAATGAAAGCATCCCATCATAAAATAAGATTGTAAATTCTAATGACAACTAATTTTTATGTCTCATATAATTTAATGCGCTCTGACAAAACCAATCTAAGATAAAAGGTTCATTTAATAACATACTTTGTCAGTTATAAAACTACAATTAAAGCTTCGTTACTTTTATGACAAGAAATATGGCTGCTTTTTCCTAAAGCACGTTGTTCCTTATTCTGAGATACAGAAGATACGACAGTATTTGCATTTAGCCTTTTCCACCTTAGACTAGCAATGTATTCTGCTTTTGGATTCTAAAGGCAGGAAGGAGAGTCTACACTGCCATATAACCCAGAATATCTAGGCAGAAAATCCCACAATATCTGCTTTGAATTGAGTTATCCGAGTCAACACTGCCATATATTCCCGTTCAAAGCAGATGTGGGATTTTATTCAGCAGTGTGGAAGGGGCCTCCGATTATTAAAGCAGATAATCTACATTATCTGCTTTGAACTGGATTATATGTGTCTTACACTGCCATATAATCCGGTTCAAAGCAGATAATCTGGAATATTTTATAGTTGTGTAGAAGGGGGCTCAGTGTGTAGTGGAAGGGCCCTCTAACACTCTTTGGCAGAGAAGACCAAAGACCTTGTAAAACTACAACTCCCAGGATTCCACAGCCTTGAGCCAAGGCAGTTTAAGTAGTACCACACTGCTTTCATTCTGCAGAAGATGCATCCAGAGAGGACAGATAGAATGATAGCAAACACCTCCCAACAATGAACACCCCTAGGCAGCAACCACCCAGGCTTTGAAGCTACAATGCAATTCAATGCTAATCAAGGTGGGCAATTGCAACATTCACACTTGCCTCAAGCAGACAAGAGTTCTTTCTCCCACCCTGGACATTCCACAGATATATAAACCTCACTTGCCAGGTCTCTAACACACTTCTCAACCTCTGAGGATGCCTGCTATAGATGTGGGCGAAACGTCAGGAGAGAATACATCTGGAACATGGCCATACAGCCCGGAAAACTCACAGCAACCGGCCATGAAAGCCTTCAACAGACTGATAGTTTGGCACCGCATTAACTGCCATGGGCCGATGCTAGGGAAACCTGAGAGTTGTAGTTTGCTGAGGCACCAGCACCTCTTTGACTTAGGGCCCTTCCACACAGCTGTATCACCCTGAATATCAAGGCAGAAAATCCACAATATCTGGGTTATATGGCAGTGTGGATTCAGCCCAGTTTAAAGCAAATAATGTTGGATTTTATTCTGCTGGGTGGAAGGGGCCAGAAAGGGCGAAAGGCCTTCGTATTTATCGTGTCAGGGGCAGACCAAACAGTTGCATTGCATTTTTTAAACAAACAAACAAACAAAACACAAAGTTTGCAAGCTTGGTAGTTGATTAAATGTCCTTTGACCAGTAGCTGGCCACTTGGAGTGCCTTTGGTGTTGCTGCAAGAAGGTCCTCTATTGTGCATGTAGCAGGGCTCAGGTTGCATTGCAGCTGGTGGTCTGTAGTTTGCTTTTCCCCACACTGGCATGTTGTGGATTTCACTTTGTAGTCCCATTTCTGAAGGTTGGTTCTGCATCTCGTGGTGCTGAGCGCAGTCTGTTCAGTGCCTTCCGAGTTGCCCAGTTTTCTGTGTGCCCGGGGGAGGGGGGGTCTCTCATTTGATATTATTTATTTATTTACTTCATTTATATACCACTTTTCTCAGCCCTTAGGTGACTCAAAGCGGTAAACAACAACAGTTTCAATACAAACAATACAAAATCATTGGAATGTTTAAAAGCAATAGCATAACAACAATTAAACATAAATATGACAATCATATGACAATGGTATCAGCCATTGGTTGAGGTTCTGGGTTTTAGCCTGCCACTTTTGGACTCTCGCTTGCTGAGGTGTTCCAGCAGGTGTTTCTGTAGATCTTAGAAACCTATTTCTTGATTTAAATCGTTGACGTGCTGTCTGATACCCAAACAAGGGATGAGCTGGAGATGTCACTGCCTTGGTCCTTTCACTATTGGTTGCTACTTCCCGGCGGATGTCAGGTGGTGCAATAGCGGCTAAACAGTGTAATTTATCCAGTGGTTCTCAACCTGGGGTCCCCAGATGATTTTGGCCTACAACTCCACTCCCAGAAATCGTTAATGTGTTGTTATTGAGATGTCATTAGTTTGTATTTTATACGGTTAATGGTTTTAATATTGTATGTTGTTGGATGTCTTTTGCTCTTGTTGTGAACCGCGTTGAGTCGCCTACGGGCTTAGAAACTGCAGTATACAAGCAAAGTAAGTAAATAAATAAATAAAATCCCAGCCAGTTTATCAGTTGTTGGGATTTCTGGGAGTTGAAGGCCAAAAACATCTGGGGACCCCAGGTTGAGAACCACTGGTAGGCCTTCGTGAAACTACGCCTCCCAGGATTCCATCGCACTGAGTCAGGGCAACTCAAGCAGTGTCAAAAGGCATTAATTAGAATGAATGGAAATACGCAGCTTGCGCATGCGCATCCTAATCTTCAGCGTGCCTTTCGGAGAGGCTGTGCGCATGCGCGTCCTTCCGCCTTTTGGAGAGGAGACGCTATTCTGCTCGTGTGCCGCAAGGGAAGGAATTAGGAAGACATTCCGGAGTCGAGGGGAACTACATTCCCCATAAGTCCCTGCGCGCAAAGGCAGGGTGCATGGGTCCGCCCCTTGGCCGACTCCCCTCCCCGCCAGAGCGCCCGGATAAAGGTTCCTTTCCGTGCGCAGTGCGGCTCGGTGCGACGCGGCTTGACAACGAAAGAGGAGAAAGAGGAGGAGGAGGAGGCCGCTGTGTGGGCGAGGCGGCGAGAGCAGCCTGGCCGCGTCGGAAACTCCACCCTGGTGGGAAGAAGAGGAAGAAGGAGAAGGAGGAGGAGGAGGAGGCGGGGAAGAGTCAAGGAAGGAGGCCCCGGCGGGAGAGATGTCGGGGCCCCCCTCGGCCCGGGGCTCCGGAGGAGGCTCGGGAGGCTTGAACCGCGAGCTGTGCCGCGCCTTCGGGCACTACAACCGGCACCTGGCGCGCCTCGAGCACAACCTGCGCGAGACCAAGAAGTTCTTCCGCGACGTCAAGTACTCCCAAGGCCTCCCTGCTGTGGTGGTTGGGCCTAAGCCCGCGGAGGAGTCGCCTCAGCCTTCACAGCAGCAGCAGCAGCAGCAGCCCGCCCCTTCGGGCCCGGACAGCGCCCCTGGTGGCCACGGAGGAGCCGCGCTACTGGTCGGTAAGGAATTCCAGGCCCTGGCACAGGCCTCTTCGGGGCCTCAGGCGGAGCAGGGCAGCCTTAGGCCTTCTTACACCCACAGTGGAAGTCACAGCAGTCAGGCATGGGCCAACTTTGGCCCTCTGGGCGTTTTGGACTGCAACTCCCACCATTCCTCACAGCCTCGGGCCCTTTCCATTTCCCCCTCAGCCGCTGGAAGGGGCCTGAGGCTGTGAGGAATGGTGGGAGTTGCAGTCCAAAACGCCCAGAGGGCCACAGTTGGCCTGTGTCTCAAACTGACAGCAAACTCCCACTTGACACATCAAATAGCTGTCTATGTTGTAAGGCCGCCATGGGCTTGAGAAAGGCGGGATAGAAATATCATAAATAGATAAATCTCTATATATAAAAATGTAATGTTCGTTTGTGGGATTAACATAACTCAAAAACCACTGGACCTACAAACCCAAGGAGTGACCATTACTCAAAACAAATTGATTTTGTCATTTGGGAGTTGTAATTGCTGGGATTTATAGTTCACCTACAACCAAAGAGCATTCTGAACTCATCAATGATGCAGTTGAACCAAACTTGGCACACAGAAGTCCCATGACCAACAGAAAACACTAAAAGGGGTTGGTGGGCATTGACCTTGAGTCATTGCCCACCATTGGAGTTGTAGTTCACCTACATCCAGAGAGCACTGTGGACTCAAACAATGATGGATCTGGACCAAACTTGGCATGAATATTCCATATGCCCAAATATGAATACAGATGTGTTTGGGGGAAATAGACTTTGACATTTGGGAGTTGTAGTTACTGGGATTTATAGTTCACCTACAGTCAAAGAGCATTCTGAACCCCACCAACGACAGAATTGGGGCAAACTTCCCACAAAGTACACCCATGACCAACAGAAAATACTTAAGGCCATCCAGTCCAACTCCCATCACCAGGGCAAGAAAACATAATCAAAGCCTTCCTGACAAAGAACCATCCAGCCATAGATATAGATAGATATTAGGGCTGGGCGGTTTCGTTTCGTTAATTCGTAATTCGTTAATAATTCGTTAATTTTTTCAATTACAGAACGATAACGAACCATTCTGGAGCAATTATTTAAAAAAAATGAATTTTCGAAAACGTTTTGTAAATGCTTCGTATTTCGATATTGTATTCGTTTCGTTATTGTTTTGAGGTCGTTTTGTTATTATTTCCGCATGTCTGGGCCAGTTTTATGGTTTAATTAGTGAAAAAAAATTATAATATCACACCAACAGTCAACAACAGAGGGAGAGGGAAGCTTCAGAAGGTTTTGGAGGTTTTTTAGCGTATTTCGCGGTCGCGTCCGCCATTAACGAATCGATTCGTTATTGTTTCGGAAATCGATTCATTAATTTTTACCATTTACGAAATTTCGTAAATATTGAACTTTTTAAAAGGAAAATTTTGTAATTATTTTAAATATCGAAACAAAAAAACCCCCCAAATACAAATCGATTTTAGAAACAAATTTTTCCGTTGTTACCCAGGCCTAATAGATATATATGATTCCCACACACACATATCATAGATTTGAAAGGAACCCCTAAACAAGGTCAATTCTATGTTGCATGTTCCAGAGTAGGCAAACCAGACAATCTCTACATCAACACAAGCATAAAGAAATTACATATATTAGAAACCAACACTTTCTCATTACTTTATTTTCCAGATCACCAGACTGGGCCACAACAATGTATGGCAGGGGATGGCTAGTCTATATAAATAAAAATGTAATGTTAGTTTGTGGGATTAATATAACTCAAAAACCATTGGACGAACTGACACCAAATTTGGACACAATACACCTATCAGGCCAACGAATGACCCTCACTCATAAAAACACTGAAAAACACATCAGGAGAGACTTAAAAAGCCAAAAATTAAAAGAAAATACATTACAATGCATGAGCAAAACCAGATATATGCACATATATACACAGAGAAAACACATATACACATACTGGGCCACAGCAACATGTGGCAGGGGACAGCTAGTAATAAATAAATAATCAAATACCACAACCAGGTATAGGAGAAGACCCTCTTTCAAATTTGCAGATACAGGCATTCCCCAAGTTATGAACAAGATAGGTTCTCTAGTTTTGTTGTTAAGTTGAATTCGTATGTAAGTCGGAACAAGTATCTTTTAAGTGTAACTTCAGCCATATCTATATACATAAAAATGCAATGTTTGTTTGTGGGATGAACATAACTCAAAAACCGCTGGATGAATTGACACCAAATTTGGATACAATACACCTATCAGGCCAACGAGTGACCATCCATCACTCACAAAACACTAAAAAGCACCAGAATGGACTTAAAAAAGCCAAAAAAGCAGAAAGATGCTACAGCGCACATGCAAAGACGACTCCTCTGGCAAACAAAACACACAATAGCATATCCACACTCTCTTCTGGTCTTCAGCTCCCAGCATCCCCTAGACTAGGCCCTTTAGGAGAGGAGGATGATCCAAATGCACTGCTTCCAAGATACAAGCTTTCTTCTCTTTGGTTCTCTTTGAGAGCATCCCAATTCCTGCATATTTCCAATTTCCTATTCCTGGACTGCAAGTCCCAGCAATCCTCCAGATAGATAGATTGGATATAGATAGGTAGGTAGGTAGGTAGGTAAGTAGGTAGATAGATCGATCAGGAGGACTGCTAGAAGTTGCAGTCCAAGAGTAGGTAGAGAAGGAAGAATGGGGAGAAAGAAGAAGGGAAAGAAAAGGGAGGAAGAGAAGGAAGGAAGGAGAGAAAGGAGAGAAAGAGAGAGGGAAGATTGGCCACAGCAACGTGTGGCGGGTACAGCTAGTAAATAATAAATCAGATACCACAACCAGGTATAGGAGAAGATCCTCTCAAATTTGCACATACAGGCAGTCCCTAGGTTGCAAACAAGACTGGTTCTCTAGGTTTGTTTCTAAGATGAATTTGTATATAAGTAGGAACAAGTACATTAAAAAAATGTAATGTTCGTTTGTGGGATTAACATAACTCAAAAACTACTGGACGAATTGACACCAAATTTGGACATAATACACGTATCAGACCAACAAGTGACCATCACTCATAAAAACACTGAAAAACACAGCAGAAGAGACTTAAAAAGCCAAAAAAAAATAAAAAATACATTACAACGCATGCACAAAACCATACACACGCACACACAAACACACATGTATACACATATACATAAATTTATATACAAAAAGCACATATACACAGACTAGGCCACAGCAATGTGTGGCAGGGGACGGCTAGTGTATATATATATAGAGAAGGGGGGGAATCATAGAGTTGGAAGGGACCTCATGGGCCATCCAGTCCAACCCCCTGCCAAGAAGCAGGAACATCGCTTCCACACAGTCCTATATCCCAATATATCAAGGCAATAAATCCCACATTATCTGAGTGTGGACTCAGATAACCTGGTTCAAAGCAAATATTGTGGGATCTTTTGCCTTGATATTCTGGCATATAGGGCTGTGTGGAAGGACCCATAGAGGCAAGCACACAGCAATGACAATAGCTAATACAGTCGCTATAACTAGAGTATGAGTTTATGCCCCCAAACCTCCAATTTTTCCTTGGAAACTGAGGCAAGTGTTCTTCAATGATAGATACTACCATTAGAATAATAGAATAATACAGTTGGAAGAGACCACATGAGCCATCTAGGCCAACCCCCTGCCATGCATGAAAAGCACAATCAAAGTATCCCTGACAGCTGGCCATCCAGCCTCTGTTTAAAAGCCTTCAAAGAAGGAGCCTCCACCACACTCCGGGGCAGAGAGTTCCACTGCTGAACAGCTCGCACAGTTAGGAAATTCTTCCTAATTTTCAGGTGGAATCTCCTTTGAAGCCATTGCCGTCCTAGTCTGCAGGGCAGCAGAAAACAAGCCTTCTCCCAACTCCCTATGACTTCCCCTCACATATTTATACATGGGGGGAAGTCATAGGGAGGAGAGAGGAGGCTTGTTTTCTGCTGCCCTGTAGACTAGGAGAGCTTTGGATAGACTAGAGAGTTTTGGATACCATAGGGAAGGTTTAACACTCCTGTGGGGTTTCTTTTGCTATCTGTGTATCTGCTTAGAAGATTTTGCCTCACTTTCTGTCCCTGTGATAATTGGATCTTGAAAAAAAGGCTTGTTGTGGAAACAAGGACTGGTGATAAAGCTTCCGTGGAGACACTGTTCCCTCATAATAACTCTTCCAGGAGTGAATTTCCCTTCCCAGGAACAGATTTCTCACACTTCCTGTTGTCTCATCTTGGTTCTTGACTATGAGTCATTTGTAACTTGAGGACTGCCAGTATTTTATGTAATGTTTATGATGATTACATCTTTTTAGCTATGTCGTAATCCACCTCAAGCCACAAGGAGAGGTGGGTAAGAAATAAAATTATTATTAAGAAAGATGCTGGCTGGAAAAGACCCTTGTGTGTTTGTTGTCTTCCAAACATCACTGAAGCAGGAGACATGGTCCCATTGGTCTTGGGATATCGGACCACAAAGGGATCTTTAAGCACCTTTGCGAGAGGGGGAGATAAAGAAATGGGTAGCATAAGCTTTCATAGGTTGCATCTACACTCTTGAATTAATGCAATTTGATACCATTTTAACTTCTATGGTTGAATGTTATAGAATCATGGGAGGTGTAGTTTTACAAAGTCTTTAGCCTCTCTGTCAAAGAGTGCTAGTGCCCCACTAAACTACAACTCCAGGGTTCCATATCACTTTGACATGGCAGTTAAAGTAGGGCCAAACTGCATTGATTTGACAGTGTAGAGCACTGGTTCCCAACCTTTTATGACCAGGGACCACTCTCCAACATTAGTACCAAAAGGGTTACGCATCGGTTTTTGATCAACTTTAGATTTGATTTGGTTATTTGGGGTGCTGATTCAGAAAATTGCGTTGGATAGACCACATCAGCTCTAGTTTCTGATACAAAACCTATGCCATCCAGTAGT